AAACATCTCTTGGGGCTAACCATGACCGTTGCGAAGCCATGTAATTCTCAAAGAGATTCGCTTTCATGGTGATCTTGAATTCTTTTCCTAAATGCATATTTGCAAACAAAAGATTATGACGTAGTTCCAGTAAAAAGAAGAAAATGTCTAAAACAGTCAAAAAAAACTTCGAGTAGATAAATAGAAAATCCAACAGCCCAAAATTTAATTTGGTTCAAAGAAAGTGTACCACTAAAGAACAATGGTAGCCAAAATGTCGCTTAAGTGGATTTTGTAAGCAAAAAGAAGCCTTGGAAGTAGAAATGCTATACAAAAAACGAAAAAAATATAAAAAAAGAGAAATTCTCGAAAGAGGGGATATTAAAAAAATCATTTGTTTACCCTCTTCAGTAACGTCGAATATTCTGTGGAACAAATCATGATCAAGAGGGTCTCGTTCGGACGTAGCGAATGGAAGAATGTCATAGTGTGATACACAATCCATACCGCTAGAAACCAGAAATTCAAAGTCATTAATGCATATTTGTGAAGACGCACTTAATTAGAGTGAGAAGCTTTTCTCCACGTGTGGTACCATCCATTAAATATGAAGTCAAATCCACAGGAAATCCCATGTGACCCCAATCACCTCTGTCGATGAGAACTTGGTAGTATCTACCTTGCGAGATGGACCGGTCACTGGAAAGGTAAGTAGTGAAGAAGATAATACTGACTCGATGTTTTTAGTGAGTTGGAAAGAAAGCTGACCTAGAATTGCTTTTCTTCTCCTGGAATCTGCATTTGAAAGCACATACTACAACTCCTTTGTATGCGAATGTTTTGTGAATAAAAAGCTGAAATCATGGTTTCTTATCTTATCTTATAACAAAATGAACTAGTTAACTCTAAAACCTTTTCAACTACAAAAGAAGAATCGTGAATTACCTGTCCTGGATCGTATAAAGTGTCCGATTCGATTGGATCCACAAGTCTGCCAATTGCTTTTATTGTGTGCCCGGGATTGCTGGAACGGAACCTGTAATAACGTAGGGATCCTATAAACCTAAGCAACATGCACAAGGACGCTGCTACCGTTTGTTAATTCAAGTGAATCTACTCATTATCGAAGCGTTTAGGGAAAAGTGCAGCACGTACATTGTCTTCATACGAAGGAGTGAAAGAGCACACGAATTAGAAAAAAAACGGTGTACTGACAATAAGGATCAGGGCCTTGAGGTTA